GCAACGTACCAATGCACGAACCAAGACAGGGATTACACACCGGAGTCTTCACAACCGTACGGCCGCGGTCAAAACGAACAAGTTTTACGCAACAGTGCCCTGGAGAAAGTGGTAAAAATGATGAATTTTATCTTGACCCTTAAAATGTGTCTTAACCTTCTGTGTGACAAAACGGGAGGTCTACACAAAGCGCTCCTGAGTACTGATGTAGGACGTGTGGCCCAAGGAAAAGCTCACGTGCAGCTGCTCGGGAAGCGATCAGAAAACAGCCACTTTTCTCGCGGGGCGTCATTTTCACTCGCAAGAGTGACCGACCAACTATCATGAATTCGAAAGTAAGCGTCTGATGGGTGTCTTCTCGAAATGAAAGAAATGAGGCTGTCACTTTGGGTAAGATGGGAGAACTCTCTTAACGATCAAATTCTAAGTCTCAGGGAGGAAATGAGGATTTGGGAGCGCTCGCCATTACACGTGGTGAGCTTCAAGCTTCCCAACGTTTACGTTTTTTCCCTAAGGAGAATGATGGCAATTATTTAAAAACGTGATCGAAAGAGTTTGTATGTTGGGGTGCCTGGGTGGCTCAGTTGGTTGAGTGTCGGTTGGCTCAGGTCATGATCTCGCGGTCCGTGGGTTTGAGCCCCAGGTCAGGCTCTGTGCTGACAACTCAGAGCCTGGAGCCCGCTTCTGATTCTTTGTCTCCCTCTCTCTGCCCCCAGCCCGCTCATACTCGTTCTCTCTCTCAAAAATAAACAGTAAAAAAAAAAATTAAAAATTAAAAAGTCTGTATGTTGGAATGACTCAAAATAATGAAGGATTTGCAGAACAGTGAACCATTCTTTTCAAAATAACCAAGCTATGACGTTACAAAATCAGTCATGGGTAGAAAATTCATTCAAAGCAATGGAATTCAACGGAACAGAGCAGAAAAAATTCTTCTATAGCATTTGGCAACGAAAGGGAATTACTGATACGTGCTACAACATGGATGAATCTTGAAAATTTGCATGTTAGGTGAAAGATGCCCATCACAAAAGACCACGTATGATTCCCTTTACATGAAATGTCCAGAATGGGTAAATTCACAGAAACAGGAAGGTTAGCGGATGCCAAGGGAGGGCGGGCGGGGTGGGGGTTGGAGCAGGGAGGGGGAGTGTGTCAATAGGTACGGTTTCTCTATGGGCTGATGAAGGTAACTGCGGATAGATGTAATCCATGGGGACATGAAAATAACACTTGGCACTGAAATTGCCATGATCACAAATCCAAGGTCTGATGATTCTCTTGAACAGAACCAATGAACAGCACCAAAACCAAGCCGAAAAACAAACAAACCTACACTAATTTCAAGCGTCAACAGAAGGTGGTCACTATAGGTGGGTCACCCTACCCACAAGCACACAACCAAATGTTAGGAGCGCCTGAACACACAACTTCGTGTGACGGCAGATTTTGTATATGGCAAAGAATGCTATCCTTTTATCAGTTTCAATGAAATGTGTCAGAAAAGAATGGGGTAATTAAAAAAGACAGTAAATCGAAATACAGTTGGATTTTATTCTGAGGCGTACTGGTGGCTCAGTCAGTTAAAGCGTCCGACTTCGGCTCAGGTCATGATCTCACGGTTTGTGAGTTCGAGTCCAGCATCGGGTCGGGCTCTGTGCTGACAGACTGGAGCCTGGAGTCTGCTTCGGATTCTGTGTGTCCCTATTTCTCTGCCCCTCCCTCCCTCTCAAAAATAAGATAAAAACATTAACAAAATTTTTTAATTAAAAAAGAATACAGTTGGATTGTATTGTACTGGGTACAGATTTAATGCCGCTTTCTCTATGAAGTATTCAACTAAAAAGTGCATCTTCCTTGCTACCTACAATATTTTGACAAGGTAATAATTTGAGTTACTTTTGAATTGTCGTTTGCCAAACCACATAGCTGTTTCATTTTCTCTCTCGCGATCTTTCACATTCCTGTGATCCTTTCCCTCTGCTTAACCTCAGAGACTTCTATATGACCAAAAACCTTTTGATTATGGTCTAATGGTAAGCAGGATTATCGACGGTAAAGCAAATTATCTCTAAAGATTCCAGGGACAGATGTGCCAGATTTTATTTGAAAATAGTTACCTTGACACTCTATTTTTGGCTGGATTTAGTTTGGTGACCTCCCATCACGAGACTGCGAGCTGGACAAGAACAATGGATGTAAGGGAGCTCGAACATTTGGAACGACTGAAACAATTAATACAAAGCACTCCCAGAAAGCCCCACTGCCTTATAGGTGACGTGTCCTTAAAGGCTTAATTTAACACTGTAAATAACAGGAAAAGCACTTCAGGAAAAAGGGTTGCATAAATTACCTGAGAATTATACGGTCTTCCCTGGGAGTTCTATCAATGTTTTTAACAAAATGCAAAATTTGAAAGCCAAGTAAAACAATCATGGCATTGAGTTTTATCTGAAGGCAAACTTTTAAAATGAAGTTGGTGGCACGCGATAGTCACAATGACAAGTACCCTACTAGTCAAACTGGCAAAAGACATTTAATCAAGTGAACGTTCTAAGGAAGATGCGGTTTCTAGCTGAGCCTTTTGCTACTGCCCTTTTTAAAAAAAAAAAAAGATTTTATTTTTAAGCAACCTCTACATACAACAGGGGGCCGGAACTCACAGTCCCCGGATCAAGAGTCGCACGCTCCGGGGTCAGCCAGGCGCCCCATTTTCTACCATTCTCTACCTTCAGTCAATAGGACACAACAGCTCAGCGTCAAAAAATAACACAACCTAGAAACACATATACTCAAACTTCCCTAGTACAGCCACATTCAAGCAGGCACGTCCGTAAACGAGAATACGTAGTAATTCTCCAAAGTGGCCAAGACTTCCTTTTCTGCTGCTGGCAAAACAAGAGACCCGCAAACCACAAAGCGCCTTGGTTCCTAACAAAGGTAAACAACTTTAAAATCAAAGGCGAAGCTTGCGAGCAATTTAACCTCTCCAAAATACCTTTTACTTTAATCATAACTACCCTTGAAGTGGGACAGAGTAATGACTGATGGCGCAGAAGGCAGGGAGCAGGACTTCGTATCCCACTGGAGGCTAAATGAGCACAGAATTTCGACAGCAGTCTAAAATAAATGTTGGGAAAAGAAGGCTAAGGGGGTGACCGGTCACATCTGGGTTTTCAGGAGGATGAGGGTTAGATGGAAGACAAAACAGAACGGAGTGCTGGACCTAAGGACTCCTTTAGCAAAACCGCGATAAAACGCTAGACTTGCTTATTACTGAAGACCAGAATCACCATCTGGAGGATTTCAAGCAGTGAGTCAGTATCTTTAGGACATCCTTTTAGGCTGCAAACAGGCAGCCCAGGTAAGTGTCACCTGTAACTCAGTTATTCCAAGGCACTATGTTTCTGATCAGCACTCACTCAAGAGCCAGGACAGGTCATAGTCCCACTCTTCCAAATACAGAGGAAATAAAGAGAACAGGGAAGCAAGGGCTGGGTGACTCAGGCTGCCAGTAAAGGTCAGAATCCACCTGGGCACTTGCGGAGGGGGCTGCTAGTGGTTTTTAATCGCCTCCATCTGAAGCAAGGTTACTTTGGAGCTGCAGCCGCCACGACCCTCACCCACTCCCCCCACTGCATGCCTCCGAATTCCCACTGCATAGAGTTATCCTCGGGCTCTTGGCACCCCCTATCTCTACACAAGCATCTCTCAGCCTTTGATTCCCCCCCATTCTTAGGACACCCCCCCCCCCCAGCACTTAGAGAGAGATGATAAAAGGATGAGTAAGCATGCTGTAGCTGATCCCGGTCAAAGAGCACAGACCCTGGCACCGGCGGTGGAAAATGGGGGTGAGGAAGCAGAACGGAAAGCGGAGTCGGGGAGTTCATCCAATGGGGTAGCCGGCAGTTACAAGCTTACCTAAGGCAGTTATTTGTTGCCTCCTTCTGCAATCCCCGTACACTCCAAACCCTCGCTTTCACCTCCCGATCCGCCGACCCCCCCCCCCCCCCCCCCCCCCCCCCCCCCCCCCCCGCTCCACGATCAAGTGCACATTTTCCTTAGACAGTTACTTCTTAAAAACAACACGGAAAGATAAACGTAATTTCTCCAGGCTTCCGGTTGTCAAAGACAATAAAGCCTCGCCCTGAAGCATGGTTAAGTTCAACGGTTTTGTTTCCTCACTCGTTTTCCGGCGCCCCCTCCACCCCCACCCCACCCCAGACCACCTCAGCGACGCAGGACGGCGACTGCCGGGAACAGTTTCAAATATATATGTCAACCTTTGGGAGGGGGAGAAAAATCAACAAACTTCTGAATTACTTCAACAGCCCGGTTACAAGTATCTGACCTTATTTTTTTTTCCCCCCGAAGAAAAATAGGACACCGAGAGATCAGGGATCTCGCTTTCTCTGCCTTCCTACTTCGGTCGTGGCAACATCTAGGGGGCTTGCAAAGAGGGCTCTTTTGGGTTTCTTCGGTGGGAAACTTGCCCTCAGGAGCCAAACGTCCTCAATTTAGGTCCCCGGTTTTCTTTAAAACGCTGAACTTCACCACGGAGAGGAAAAAACCCCCAAGGTGCCGTTCCCTTTGTTAAAATCCCACGGACTTTATTGAATTTGGGGCGGAAAGGCCGCCGGCAAGATCACGACCAGCCGCAAGAAGGTGGAGAGACAGGTGCGATTTCTCCCCGCGGCGGTTCCGGCCGGGAGCACACCCCTCGGCCGGCTCGGCGGCCCCAGGCCACCCCGGGCCACCCCGTCCGCCCGCGGCCTCCCCACGCGCGGCATCCCGAGCCCGGGCCGCCCCCCGCCGCCGCCCCGCGGGGCCCGGCCTCGCCGCCTCCGCTCAAAATGGAGGTGGCGGCGGCGGGCGGCTGGTTACGAAACGCGCGGCCGCCACATGGCCGCGCCGACCCCAAACTTGGCCGGGCCGCCGCGTCCCGGCGCGCAGGCGAGGCAGGGCCCCGGCGCGGAGGCCGCGCGGCGCCCGCCACTCACCCACAGACCGGTAGCCCAGGATCGCGATCTTCCGGGACTTGGACTGCGGCATCTTGGCGGCCTCCTCAGCCCCGGACCAACCACATCAACCGCGGCGGCGGCGGCGGCTCCTGTGCAGCGATCGGCGGCGGCCGCGCCGGGGCAGAGCGGCATCCAGGGGCGGGGCGGGCGGGCGCGGGCAGGCGCGGCTGCCTGGGCTCCTCGCTCGCGCGCCCAACCGCCCGGAACCGCCGCGCGGCCCCGCCCCCAAACACGCCCACGTGACCGCCGCCGCCGGGGGGGCCTCCCCCGCTCCGCGGCTCGCGTCAGCACCGCCCTCCCCGCCGCGGCGGCCACCCACGCCCCCGGAACGCACGGAGGTGCGTCGGGCGACGTTTTACTTTAAGGGGAAACAGAGGGGACGCCAAGATGCCCCCGGAAAAGTCACGACTGAAACTCGCTGCGTCATGACTCTCCCACCCTCTTCCGCCGCCTTTTCCTTACGCCGGTTCTCCCTGGGCGCTGATTGGATAGCTGCCGCCCGCCCGCGCGATGACGCGCGGAAACTCCGTCTCCGATTGGGGGCGGCCAGGAGGCGGAGCCGAGGGCGGGGCTGCTGGCCCAGACCTAAAAATAAATTCCGGCTGCGACCCCGCGCTAGAGCGCGAGTGAAGTTTGAAGGATTCGAACGTCTCAGGGGTTGGGAGTGGGCGGGAGGGGCGGAGGAAGCTGACTCCGCAGTGATTGGTTAGTGCAGGGTGAGGGGCGGGGCAAACTGTGAGGTGTCTGGTGATTGGCGGGACGTTGAGCGGTTGGTGGATTCGCGCCCAGTGAGCCCTTAAAAGGCGCGAGGCACGTTGCTCTTGCCCGCTGGGCTCTGCCGCTTTTTAAAATTTGATTTGGTCGGGTTTTACGTTTTTTGTTTTTTTAACCCCTTCACTCTTAGACTTAGCAAGTCTGGCTTTGAGGTTGTAGGTGGTTACTAGGCGTCACCCATGGATGAAGGACCATGTGAAGAATATGCATTGATTCAAAATGTTACACATTTCACCAAAAATACACGTGCCTCTCGACTTCTGGTCTCTACCCTGCCGCAGGTGAGCCCGGCACACCTCGCAGGAAATAAATAGCTCGAGTCGGCACCTCTTTACTTGTCAACACCTGCGTGGTCTATTCAGTGGGCAAACTTAAAGCTGTGGTTGGCTGGGAACGTTCCAGAACCATCCTTGACTCCATGGGGGAGTCAAGTTTGTTGGGCTTGCCCTCCGCTGCGGCTGGCCTCTCCGGTAAGGGCACCCCGCCGGGTTTCCCACAGAAGGCACACGGGCAACCCCTTTTTCCAGCAGTGCCAGTGAAGGGCGGTTGGGTCGGACCACTGTTGGGAGTATGGGATGGGAGGCCAGCGCTGGAGGTCACGGAAAATGAAGTTGAAGGCCAGGCCCGAGAAATGAGGTTGCGATTGGGGACCTTTCCAACCGGAGATTTCCATCATGCTTCATCTTCTTGCCCTTGGTGGTTGCTAAAGAAGCAGATATTCTGGCTACTCCTACGAATATCCCCCTCAGTCCTCAGGCTGTTTGACAGTGTTGGGACAATCGCCTGCTGATCACAGCCCCTTGCCTTTCCCAGGAAACACAGAGAACCCCCATCCCCCCAAAGCTGCTGGCCGGACTGGATTTCTAGGTATGAAGATTTAGAGGTGAGCGTCCCATAAATATGCCTTGTTGAGTTAGAACACTGACATTTGGGCAGAATCCTTCCACCGCCCCGCTGAACTACTTTTTAATTTATCTTTTATTTTTAACGTTTATTTATGTTTGAGAGACAGAGAGACCAAGCACGAGCTGGGGAGAGGCAGAGAGAGAGGGAGACACAGAATCTGAAGCAGGCTCCAGGCTCCGAGCTGTCCGCACGGAGGAGAGTGTGTGTTCACATCCTAGGGGCTCCTCAGACTGAAGTCCTAGACAACAAGCTGGAAGTGTGAAATATCCGGGCACGTCAAGTGTCTTGTCTGAATGGTCAGTGTCTTGTCTGAATGGCGTTTGCATTCTCCTCTATATTTACTTGACATTTTTAAAAACTTCAGGTCTTGAAGTCTCCAGGAAGATGTATCACTTTTATCCTGAGAATTTGGAGGCCCCAAACCAGTATTTTGAACTCCGTGGTTGTGAAATCAGACACATGGGTGTTACCTTTTCTTTTCTTAAATAGAGGAGCTGAATAGAAAATAGGTTGCTGGTATCGCTAAATATTGTTTCGTATTGTTTCATGGGACTAGGGTTGTGTGTATATATACTTGTAGAGGGGTTATATACGTTTTGCATACTGGGGTCTGTTGTAAAATGTATTTTTTTTTAGTGTGTCATTTACATTTTTTAATTTTTTAATTTTTACTTTTTAAAATATAGTTTATTGCCAAATTGGTTTCCATACAACACCCAGTGCTCATCCCAGCAAGTGCCCTCCTCCATGCCCCCCACCCTTCTTCCCCTCCCCCCCACCCTCATCAACCCTCAGTCTGTTCTCAGTATTTAAGTCTCTCCTGGTTTGCCTCCCTCCCTCTCTTTAACTATTTTTCCCCTCCCCCAAGGTCCTCTGTTAAGTGTCTCCTGATGCACATATGAGGTAAAACATATGGTATCTTTCTCTGCCTGACTTATTTCACTTAGCATAATATCCTCCAGTTCCGTCCACATTGCTACAAATGGCCAGATTTCATTCTTTTTTTTTTTAAAAATTTTTTTTAATGTCTTTATTTATTTCTAGGAGAGAGAGACAGCGTGAGCAGGGGAGGGTCAGAGAGAGAGGGAGTCACAGACTGAAACAGGCTCCAGGCTCCGAGCTGGCAGTCAGCAGAGAGCCAGACGCGGGGCTCAAACCCACGAACAGCGAGATCATGACCTAAGCGAAAGTCGGACGCTTAACTGACTAAGCCACCCAGGTGCCCCGGCCAGATTTCATTCTTTCTCATTGCCTTGTATTCCGTTGTATAGATAAACCACATCTTCTTGATCCATTTGTCACTTGATGGACACTTAGCCTTTTTCCATGATTTGGCTATTGTCGAAAGTGTTGCTATGAACATTGGGGTACATGGGCCCTTCTGCATCAGCAGAAAATGTATTTCTTACTGTGAATTGCCTCGCAACATTTGAAAGTGTCGCCTTAGCCTTGAAATATCACGGATCCAGCCTGAGCAGTGCTGTTGTAAAGGACAAAGTCGTTAAAGAAATCTTCCAACGGCCTTAAAGCCTTTAAGGTCAGGCCCCGGCATTTTGAAGATTCCATTATTCCAGAATGGAGAGAATGGATTTGTTCTAAAAAATGATCCAGTCTCCCTAAAATATTTGGGATTGATGGTATGAATTCACAGGGAAGGAACTGACTTCGGCCAGCCCTTCCGGGACCGTGGTGGGGGGATGTGGGCGTGCTTCTGAATTCAAAGTAGTTCTACTGATTGAGATCCCTTGTTAACTGTCTGGAACTTGTGCCACCAATCAATATCTCCTCTGCTTTTTCAGGACCTCTATCTTGTTGTCTCTGCACACTGCCTTCCCTCTGTGTGTCCTTCCCCCCAATTTCATTTCCCTGGAAACTAAGAATTCTATCTCTTCCATTTAAGTTACAGGGAGAGGGGGCCCTGGGTGGCTCAGTTGGTTGAGCGTCCAACTCTTGATTTCACCTCAGGTCATGATCTCATGGTTCATGAGTTCGAGCCCTGCATCAGGCTGTGCGCTGATGGTGAGGAACCTGCTTGGGATTCTCTCTCTCTTCTCCTAAAATAAATATAACATTTTTAAAGTCCAGAGAGAGGACATGATTGGTTGAGCTGCTTACCACTATCCCTTGAATGAGGAGCTCATGCTAAGCCTGTAGGTTTGCCAGTTAAGCCTCCACTGGCCTAAGCCACCCGTGCTGCTGAGCATGACAATTAATGGCGGTTATTTGAAGTGTGAAGTGTTTGCTACTGAGGGATTATTATTAGTATTCTGTGAACATCTCCAAGTCCGATGACTTCTTATTTGTAGTTTCAACATTTTATTTTTTTAATTTTTAAAAAATGTTTATTTTTGAGAGAGAGAGAGAGCAAGAGCGAGAGCGTGCGAGCATGGGTGTGGGAAGGGCAGAAAGAGAGGGAGACACAGAATCCAAAGGAGGCTCCAGGCTCTGAGCTGTCAGCACAGAGCCCGACGTGGGGCTCGAACTCACAGTGAAAACGTGACCTGAGCTGAAGTCAGACGTTTAATCGACTGAGCCACCCAGGCGCCCCTGTATCTTCAACATTTAAAAAAAATTCCCTGAGGTAATATACAAAACTTATTTTTATCTACCATTAGATTCGACTAAGAAAGAGTGAGACTGCCATGCTTGTTTTTACTAAAAGGACATTTATGGGGGCACCTGGGTGGCTCAGTCGGCCAAGCGTCCCAACTCTTGATTTCGCACAGGTCATGATCAGGGTCATGAGCTCAAGTCCCACAGCAGGCTCCGAGCTGGATGTAGAACCTGCTTAAGATTCTCTTTTGTGGCACCTATAGGCTCAGTTGCTTGAACCTCTGACTTCAGATCAGGTCGTAATCTCATGGTTTGTGAGTTTGAGCCTCACATGGGGCTTGCTGCTGTCAGTGCAGAGCCTGCTTCAGATCCTCTGTGCCCCCCCTTCTCTTCCCCTCCCCCATGTGCTCTCTCTCCCAAAAATAAATATTAAAAAAATTCTCTCTCAAAAAAAAATTTCACATTTGTGAAATTAATTTACCTTTTTCAAGTTTATTTATTTATTTAAAAATTTTTTTTTAATGTTTTATTTATTTCTAGGAGAGAGAGAGAGAGAGAGAGAAACAGCGTGAGCAGGGAGGGTCAGAGAGAGAGGGAGTCACAGACTCTGAAACAGGCTCCAGGCTCCGAGCTGTCAGTCAGCACAGAGCCCGACGTGGGGCCCGAACCCACGAACCGCGAGATCATGACCTAAGGGAAAGTCGGACGCTTAACCGACTAAGCCACCCAGGCGCCCCAAGTTTATTTATTTATTTGTTTTTAAAGAGAGAGTACGCTGGGGGCAGAGAGGCAGAGAGAGAGAATCCCAAAGAGGCTCCGAGCTGTCAGTCCAGAGCCCGTCTTGGGTCTTGAACTCACAAACTGTGAGCTCGTGACCTGAGCCGAAATCCAAAGGTCAGCCGCTTGAGTGGCGGAGCCACCCAGATGCCCCCCATTTAATCCTTTTACATGTGAAACGGCGACCCTGAGTGAAAGTGGACAGGAAGGCGTTTTGTCGTGTTGCTTTTCAGTATTTGATGAAGGAAGGCTGAAAAAGAACGAGACTAACCTTAATCTTGGCGTAGCCAAATCAGGCTGATCTGTTGGGTCTCCCAGAGGGTGTTACTCAGATCAAACAGTGCAGGGGTGAGGAAGCATGCCATGGTCGTCTCATCGTGTCGTCTTGTGGCTGAGAGA